TGACAATTTTAAAATCTGATCTATCTAGCCACTGGAGCTAGACACTAATGCTTTATATCACCATGATGCTTAATGCTTTACACAGTTACAATTCTAGGTAGACCCTAGGTATCAGATGCAAAAATCATGTTATCTTGATTAGCACCTCACTTCACAAGCACACCCCCCCCCCAGTCCATTCGAATACGATTTTTAGCAACTAACATTGTATGAAAAAACTAGCGATGTGCTGTGATGAGGTATAATTTGACAGCTGGGCTTCCACACTTCCAGCTGGCTGCAAGCATCAGGTTTTGGCAGGTAACAGGTCCTAACATCGCATCAACAGCAAAGAGGGGAAAAGGCAGGACCGTAAGAAGATGAACAGTTTCACGTTTTGATCTACCAGGGAAATAAAACTACCTGGCAGACAAGGCTACAAATAAATCCACATTTCTGCACTGCGCCAAGAGGTGGTCCTGACTCAGTGATCACAAATACAATGCCAGTGCTTGCACACACATTCCGAGGAACGAAAGACCACAAAAATTAATGCCCAATAAAAATGACATTTATTTCCAAATCATGTTTAAGGGAAAGGAACTGAACCTCTACGAAGTGGGAGTGAAGTGTTATGAAGCAGAAGACAGAGAAAAAGTGAAGCACGAATTGAGGAGGAAGTTTGACTCCCTACAAGCTACCCCTCTCCCCGCAAAAACTTTCAACTACTGGGAAGAGACTTTCATGTCTTTTCCCTCATATCCTTCCGATGTACCTCAGCACAAGTACACTGTAAGAGAGGAAGGAGGGTCTAATGCAAAGGTAACAGACTATGAACAGTATTGCATGCACAAAATCAACACGTTTTCTTCAGTCTTCCAGCCAGGGAAATAAAGATGGACTGCCTGTGACTTCAAAAAGTCAGAAAAACAAAGCAGTTGACAAAGTGTGTGTTTATTTTTTTTTTTAATTATTATTATTATTTGAAATGAGGTAATAATAAGAGGCAGCAAGCACAGGTAGAAATTCATTCCAGGAAGCTTAAAAATAAGGTTACCATGGCACATGCAGGATTCGCACTTCACTTTTCTTTGTTTAAATTATGCAGAATGAGAGATGTTCTTAAAGCACCAGGATCCAGGGCTCTCAACACTACCACAAAATGTAACAGTGATTAATATTAGCTGTGGAAAAGTATCTGGGCTTTCTTTACTGGCCTAGTTTCAGCACAGTATTCTGTTGCTTCAAATGCAATCAACAATTTCTATGAAGTTGATGTATTATTGCAAAATGTATGTTCTTTCACATTAAAGCACAAGAAATAAAGCATGACCATCATGTTTTGCAACTAATTTATTTTTTTCTCCTTTTTTAATCTGTCTTGCAAGTTTACCATGACATTTTAGTGACAACAGTGCTAAAATAACTCAAAAAACAAAAAGACGACTAATTAAAAAGGCAGACAGTGAACATCATGATACATTGGCATAAAATTATCCCTTCAGTGTCCTTTGTAAAAATACTGCTAAAACCCCAACATTTGCCATGGCAATACTGAATCAGATAGTTTTATAAAATATGTAATTATATATGCAGATCCTTGCAGTGCCAGCATTTGGTTAGTGCACGTTACTGAAATGAGGCACTCCATATTTAAGGCAAGAAAATGCTGTCTGCTTTCTTGGAACAAAACTTGTATTAGTGAACTTCCAAATAACACAAATTATAGACCTTGAAAACCTACTTGCCTTCCTCCCTTTCCCCCACAACTTCAGAAATCATTCAGGGAAGCTGTTTCAGCATTTCTTACTATTGAGTACGTATGAAGGCAACGGCTCCTCTCAGGCTGGACAGGACTTTTTGCTCGTACCGAGCCCCTGGCAATGATAACCAAGACACCTCACAAGCTGCCGGCTAGGGTGTACACTCTGAACACATCACCACCAGTTCGGGAGCAAGTGGAAATGAGTTAGTTGCATGTGCAGAACTAGCGGACTTTTGAGAAGGAGGTTAGCAACACCTGCTGGTCATGGTGCATACTGAACACCGCTTTGTTTTTCAAATCAGCAATAAAAAAGTGCTTTTTCTTACTAAAGGACCTAGCTAAAGTTACCTGTGAAGTCGGTTTGTCACCAGAGATAATACTTCTAACTAGATCAACTGATATAATTAAAATATATTACCTCTCCCAATAAACCTTGTTCTGCTCATACCCTTAGACCGTCATGGTTACAGTACTGCTAAAATATATCAACACTAATAACTTCTGAACCCTATCAGTAAATAAATACTCACAACATGAGCTGAGCTCCAGGCTTCAATATAAAATGGGACATAACGAGTCTTCCTGACAGTTCCTTTAAGTGACTGAAAGATTTACATTATACATCGTAACGTGCATGAGGCCTGCCTTCATTACTGACTAATTATCTTTATTGCCTACTCAAAGCAACTCAGATATGATGGACTGCACAATCTTAGCAGTAGCATGGGCTTTTATTCTACTCTATAAAGATCCGCAAACTATTCAAAACAGCTTCTGCAATTCTTCAGTATTTTTATGATGCATTCCTTTAATCTGCAAAAGTAGAAGTTTTTCTTCCAAATTTTACCTGGAGTAAAATACAACTAAACATATACAATAGAGTTTCTTAATCCACCTCCCCCCTTCCAAAAAAAAAAACCAACACCCTGTACGGTACAAAATTACAAACAGCATTTTCAGAAAACAATTCAAAATGAAAATGTCCTCAACTGTAAGTATTTTAAATCAACTATAACAAGCCTGCATTCAGCAGCTGTATTTAATGCTGGCTTTAAATTTCCATTTAAAAAAATATGGTATTCATTTTTTGAAGTTGTGTCTATAGGTCCTCTGATACACTAGCCTTAGGCATTAGAAGTTTTCCTGGTTCTCATCCAACTTTGGAAATAATATCTTCTTGCTTCGGGTGTTAAAAGGATTCATACATTATTTATAAGGACTGCTAAAATCTAACTCCTGGATCTAACTTCCAAGAGAAAAGAGTATAAAAAGTTACATACAAAAAAAGCGCACAACTGTCCCCATTTCGATTTTTAGCCCCTCTTTCTATGTCACATATCGCCAGACTAGGTCTGTAATACTCATCTCTCACTCCCCATGTTCAGATATTCGTCTACAGTTGCTTTGAGCCTTGCTGAATTTGATCTTTCTTGTATATTTTTAAAGTATGATTTTCCAAAAAAAAAAAAAAAGCCCAAAACGCAAAACTGTCAGGTAACTTGTTACAGTTCAAAGATGCTGGATTTCTCTGACAGAATGGTGTTTGTTTACCTCCTGAAAAACCAGGCTGAAGTGTTTCAAGAAAGTAGCCACAACAGGGTAGCTAAAATCCCTATTCACTTCTCAACGTCTTCTTCCTCTACACTTTTCTCTTTAATGTTGTCTACATATACGATACTCACATTCTGTTCGTCTCTTCCCGGTTTAAGAGAGTTCATTGTTAGATTTTTAAAACAACCCTTTTAGCAAACTTCACAAGAGGGAGATTTTAGTATCTCCGCATCAATCCAAGAAAATATTTCTGCTTTGAACAGCAGTTTCACTTCCCGGGTTATACTAGGGCAAGAGATATTAAAATGCTATTGACTTATAACTATGTATTGTATGTAATTAAAGAAAACAGAAAAGTAAGGTCCACAGAGCTTTGGAAACACTCACCAGCATGAGCAAGTCCTCACATTGTTAGGATTTGTTCTGAATGCATTAAACCCACTGTATCTGACAGCCCTTTACACTTCAGATACCAGTTCCTGACTATAATTTCACTTAGTCTAACTGGAGCACATAGGAACAGCATCTATCTAGCTGAACATGATGTCCGAAAGACTGAACATACACTTACTACAGCTTACTAAATCATTGAGAAGCTGCCCCACGCAACATTTGTAGCAGCACAGCAGCTGATTTTGTTTACCCAGTAAGGTGATGTCATTTATGTTCATCCTTACGCTGGGCAGAATTTTTACACTTATTTCAACCGTCAGACTTTGAGACCTCAGTTCTTAATAAAGAACAATATGCATAATAGAGCACTACATCCATTCTGTCCCCATGGAAACAATAAATCCAAGTAAGTATCTTGTGAGGATTGCAGCTGTTCACTACACTTCTTTGGAAAAGAAGATTCTTCTGTCTGAGGTTTCTGTACTCAGTCCACAAGCTTACAAAAGTTTATTTCCCCACAAAGTATAGTTTTGTGATGCTCACTATTCAAAGGGAAAACTAGACTAGGCTGCATCTCTGAAAGGTTTATCTATTAGCAATCAAGTCTCATGTATCTGAAAAACAGAAAAAACGATTTTGCTGTTCAAATTCTCAGGCTAACTGCCGCTCGCAGCATTTGTATAGTTGGTTTCACTGTTACAGCGATCCTCAGCCCCTGCCTCTGTGGGGCAAGAGAGGGAATTGTGATGAGGAAACCCTAATCCACATTAGCAAAGAGAATTAAAAGCAAGCACCGCGCCTCTAAACGACTCTTACTTCCTTATTTTAAATCTGAATTCGTTCTAATTGGAAGAGGCTTATTTTTGTTGTTGCGGTTGTTAAATTTGCTCAAAGGAAGAAGAAACAGCTGTCAGGAGCTGGGAAAGCTGTGCCAGTCTCGCCAGCCTTCCTTCTTCTACCTGTACCACATGATGAAGCTCCTGCAGTATATGCAAGAGGGAGGCTAACACACAAAAGGAAATGTAAAGCATTAATTACTATTGTCATTCAAAAACTTAAAATTTAAATGCATTACAGAGACGTGTAGTAACACGGTGTATTTTGATGCTAGTCAGTGTTGGAGGAAAGTAAGAGAGTGGAAAGCAACCTCGCCACAGCACTGCTACCTGTTTTGAAACCACGCTTGTGTAACACCCAGTGGGTCCTTTCCGAGCGACGGCTGCGGGGCAGCGCAACTCGAACCGCTCGAGGATGCAAACAAATACACAAACACACTGGGACCAAAACTCAAAGCAAAGGATTAATTTCGCACCTTCCTGAGAGGAGACAATAGGTGGCATATAATCAGGGATGTACTCCTTCCTTTCTTCCGCATCCTTACTTCCCGGCTGGGGAAACTGCAGGACATTGTTCTTGCTGACGGGAAACGAAGGGATTTGATGTGCAAAAGTGACAGGTTCGATATTGTGTATATAATCTTCTAGCTCGTGCAGGTTAACCCCCATAAGCTTGAAGGCATCACCTACGTCATCCAAAATTGGATCTGTGCGGCCATCTGTAACAAAAAAGCAACAAAAGAACAACATTTTTGCAAAAATCCAGTTTAATAAAATTTGACCTGCAGATCTATGCTTAGAGATTACGGCCGGCCACGGCTCACCACCAGTAACGGAGATTACTGTCCCACACTTCTGCCCGGTTCACTGTTGGTCAGGCTATCCAATGTTTCAGGCTAAGAACGTGCTCTCATTTTAAAGTATTTTATTTCGATCCGTATCACTTTGTTTCAATTCCTATCCTTAAAGAACTGCACCTCAAGAAGCAAATCAAGCAGAACTGAGGGAGCAGCAACAGGCAGCTTTACCCAGCAACACTCAACGCAACACCACTCCAACCAGCTTTCAGTTTCATACTGTACACTCAAATGCATGACAGAAGCCCTCAATATGCAGAAAGGGCCCCTTGGCCAGTATGTAACAGGCTACACGTTATTTTTCAATCTAGAAAAGGAACAATTTCATGTTGTTGAACCGACTGTAGTTTACGGGTAGCAAAACAAGAAGGTATCTCGTATCTCTTGATAACAAAAATACTTCAGGTAGTATCTTCCCACCAGATGAAATCTACAGGCTTCATAAACTATGAGGCACTCTACCTACCAGTTAGATTTACCTCCCGGATGAAACACAAGAATATTAAGTAGAGGTCTGATGAGGAGAAAGTATTTTATACTAAACTTCAGGGCCTGATTTCCTGAGGTGCAATTTAAGTTTGACTCTACAGCAACAATCTTTTCCATAAGAAAAGCATAGCGAAACCTTACCAGCCAAGCAGTCAGGATCTTTATTTAATATGACCTCCAAGAAAACAGTCTAAGTGAGGTTGCAGTTTGTTCTTCACACATAATTTGGCTCAAAGATTTAAAACTACACAGCACAGAAGTCCTTCAAGTGCCTCAGTTTCCCTGACCTGACAGAGAGATATCCCTTGGAAGGCCTGCGGAGGGACAACTGTGATTTGGTAGCAGAGACACCACTTCAAGTCTCATCCTAACTTTTCATAATAACAGTAACACACAAAAAAAGATGCCTTAAACCCCAAACATGTTTGTTTTTTTTTTTTTTAATTCAATAAAACTATACTGAATTATTACAATTCTGTATAGTTGGCTTATGAAGATAGTACATCCCTACATGATGACATGCTGTGATTCACTTCAAAAAGTAATTATGGAAAACCAGCTCGTGCTTATTGAAGGAACACAATTGCTATTGTGAGGCCCCAGTTTCAGGGAACGGGGGGGAATTCTCTTTTGTTCGTCCTTTAACCTAATCTCTTCTTGGTTTATCTTGAAGCCGAAGCAGTCGAGCAGGCTGGTTCTCACTTCACTGGGTGAATTCAAACCCCCAGCCAACTTATGCCTGCAGGTACATTTAGAAAATAAGAATTTTGTTCTAGAATTTCTCTTCTTAGTCTTGCAGTGAAGATAAGGGTAATACTCAGATTATGGTTTTGATTCTCGGCTCTGTAACACTGGCCTCTTGTGTGACTCTGGGCAAGTCGCTTGTGTTTTAATTCTCTCCGCAGCTAAAAGGGAGATCAGACCAAGCTATCGCCTCTTTTGTCCGTCTGCATTTAGAACGTGATCTCCGTACGACAAGAACCATCTTGGATTTTGCGTTTGTATAATATCTAGTACAAGTGCAATACTAGTTTCCCCTGCAGACCCTACGGACAGAGAAGTGTAGAGACTGACAAATCTAATTAAAGGAGGGTATCATACTCTGGAGCAGTGATGAGATTCCTATAGTTATTGGGCATACGGAAGAGTGTTTTATCCTTAGAAAATTAAACTTAGATAATTGACACAGCTAAGAAGTTTTGTGTTGTCCCTTTTAGTTGCTTTTCAGACTACGAAGATACCTTTGAACTTACTGAACCACTGACCCCATCGCTGGGGCTCTGCGAAGGTGTTTCGAGCACCTTGCTCAGCGGGTGCCTCTTGACACCAGCACCCTCACGTGCTCAGGGTGAAAGTTTACTCCAGTTTATCACCGCGATACGAAAAGGTCTTTTCCAAGATCTGCACGTGATCTTTTTAACCCCCAAAAAAGCGTATTGACATGATTAGCAAGGCATAAACGCTAAAAAGGATTTCTTCCTACAAGTGCTCATCAAGAACGCATGGCAGAGAAGCAACTAAGTGTAACTGAAGCATGGCAATATTTAAGTAACCATATCAAAAAACAATCATGTGTGTTCAAAAGCAGGTATAGAAGGTGACCAAAAAACCCCTGAAGATTCAATTTGCCCACATCTTTGACATTTGCCTCCAAAGAGACAATGCCAAGTCATAAGATAAACAGCTGCCAAGTCATAAGATAAACAGCAAAAAAAAATGTTTAAACCTGCAACTGTCCCAGGGACGAAAGAACTGAGCAGTTAACCTCTTCTTTCCAAGAACGAGCGTCCGCAGTGGTAAAAGTGTACAAAGAAAGTTTCAGGTCTGTTGTTATATCTGAATTTAAATCAAAACACTTATCAGTGGGAAATATACACAGCACAAAAATGCATTAAATATAATTTCAGGTGATTCATCAAACAAATGCTTGTTCCTTTATACTTCTATCCAAACAGTTTAGCATTCCTCTTCTCTCTCTGGTTTACTAAAAATTCAGTAAAATAGCAGAAGCCAGACACATGAAAGAGAATGCTGACAAACATGTAACACACTCTCTTCTGGTCTTTCATTTAGACTTAGGCTTCTTTTCTGTAAGTAAATGATGCCAAAAAAAAAAAAAAGTTTAATTTGTGCATACTGAACTGCTCTCCATACTCTTCAGATATTTGTGCTATCCTCAGTTTAAAAACTCAGATGCTGAAGCCTTCCAGTGAAATAATTAATCCAATGTCACACAGCAAGTCAGTGCGAGATCACAAACAGCTTTGGAGCTTTTGGTTTCCAGCCTCTTGCTGTTCCCTATACCACGATGCTTCAAATAACATCTGCTGTCCGGGATTGGGAAGAGATGGAAGGAGGTGGGAACAGTTCATCCAGCAAGTTATGACTCTACTCCTTACCCTGCAAACAGTAAACTAAGCAAATATCTTTCTCACGAACTTTTAAGCTGTACTATCTCCTTGAATGGGAACTGTGCTTCCAAACTGATATAGTTGCACCAAACAGCAGAGCTAAATTAAGACCAGTCAGTCTCAAAACAGCTCACCAGAAACCTGTGGGAACGGCTGTGCTGTTACGATACTCTCAGCTTCCCTGCACATGAGAATGAATGCCGGGTGAGGAGGAATCTACACACAGAAATGGATCCTGAAGAAGTGCAGCACCAAAACTATGGGGAAACAGAATCCATGCAGAGCCAAGTATTTGGGTGGAAAGTTCTCCAGTCCTCAACGCTGCCGCTCAGCATCACCTGCAAACCCAGCTGTCCACAAGGAAAACCAAATCAAACAGAACCAGGGCAGGGCGCTAACTCCCCTTCAAGCAATTTTTAGAAGCTACTGAAGCCTAGTTGTTTTTGCAAAAGTCACAAGAATTCCTCCAGCAAATAAGCTGACCAATGCTTGCCATGCAAAGAAACTGGGGGGGGAGGGGGGAGGCTGGGGCGGGGGAGGGGGAAACTATCTTCCGTTTCC